GATGCTTTAATCGGTTTGCATTTCCATTTAGTTTCAGTAGGTATTAACGAATAAACCGGGTCGGTCCCTGAACCTGTCTGGAAATGAATAACTTTATGTATACCTGATTAACCATGGGAATCATTACATACTGTCTGTGAGGAATATATCCACCTTTGTTTGCTTCCTCATACTTACCCAGAGAGATACGCCGAGTCCTCATGCCACGGAGTTCTATAGGAGCCTGCTCTGGGTCAGGCTGTGTAAACAGCCAGTCCAGAAAATGTGTGTGGGCTCCATCACCTTCACATATTGACTTCCCAAAAGGCTGTTTCTCAAATCTGCTGAGCGTCTGTTTAACTTTGGCTTAGTCTGTTTAATTGAGTCACGTTTTTCTATTGTTAATCTCCCCTCAGATTTGTTTGGTTTGGAGCTCGTACGGTGAAGCAGCGAGGTGACACGAGAAGTTAATAATTTTTTTAAAAATTTGTAAATATAGTGGGTTTTTCTTTTTTTTTTTTTTTAAAAAAAAAGTCAGCCCGATTCCCAGCAACCCAGTGTGTTTTCATCAGTAGAGCTTTGCACTATAATCATAAAAATGCCTAACTGTAAGATAAATATTTACTTCATGTCTTCAGGTGCATTCCTCATCCCTTACCTGATAGCGCTGGTGTTTGAGGGCCTCCCCCTGCTCTTCCTTGAGCTGGCTGTAGGACAGAGGCTCCGGAAGGGCAGCGTGGGTGTCTGGAAGACCATCAATCCCGTAATCGGTGGAGTAGGTGGGTAACCCAAAAAGTAATAGTAAATGTTTTTATGTACTCTACAGTTATACTATTCGAGTGTGTTGCTTTATTTTAACGACATATTAGTTAATCTAAGATTCTTAGTTGTTTTTCAACCCTTTAGTCAACTGTATCATGTACAATAATAAAATAGAAAGTAAAACAGAATAACCAAAAAATAAATAAATGTTTCTTTTGTTGAAATTGACACCGGTCAAAGATTCCTCATTTTTAAATTCAAAAAATAAAATTAATACCTGAAAAAAATCTTTCTTATGTGCAGGCATCGCCTGTTTGATTGTATCGTTTCTGGTGGGCGTTTTCTACAACACCATTCTGGCCTGGGTGCTGTGGTACTTCTTCCACTCTTTTCAGGAACCCCTGCCGTGGAGCACCTGCCCACTAAATGAAAGCCGCATAGGTGAGACAGGAGCACACCTCGGTATTATTCTTGCTTGATAAATTTATGGCCGTACGCCATGATTCTGCTGCTGCTCCACTGTTTGCAGATTTAATAACAAAGATAAAGTTAAGGATTATCAGTAAAGATTTATGGCTGCCTGCCACGCTCTTGGTAGCATTTCAAGAGAGATTCAGTAAAAAAAAAAAATACTGCTGGACAGCTTTATGGCACAAAGGGAACATTGCACCACAACATAAAATAAAAAAGACAATGATTTTTTTTAAAGATAGGTGCAACTAAGACATGAGATGAACAAGTAAATAGCAATGATGATGCAGTGTTGGGACTGTTGAATTTGTAATTTTGCACACTTTTAAACAAATGAACAGTATTTTGTGGTAGTTTCATTTTAATGGAGAGACACAATACCAAACACACCAAAACATGATTTAGAGAAAATCCTTGTTGGCAATCACAGCGGTGAGACGTTTCCTGTAGTTGGTCATTGTCACATTGGAAGACCGATTTGTGACCAACGTTCAGTGTTGCAGCTGCGGGTTTCTCATCCAAGATGTTTCAGTACGTGGGCCCATACATTGGCACCATTTACAGAAAAAAAGTCCCAAAGCATAATGCTTCCAACTCCATGCTTGAGGCAATTGTAATTTTATATTTGTTCTATTTACAAATAGTCGCACCAGCAGTCATCTTCTCACCAACCTTCTTGTCGATGGTGCTTTGGCCCATTCCAGCCTTATGCTGGTCTACAAAATCTTTTGCGTATGTGTGTCCATGTAGACTATAATTTGGAGTGTAAGAAAAGCACTCCGGTAAATTACTTCTGGTACCGTGAAACCCTCAACATCACACCTGACATCGAGATCAGCGGCTCTGTGGAGTGGGGGATGGTGATCTGTCTAGCCAGCGCCTGGTGCATCGTCTACATCTGCTTCATCAAAGGCATCGACTCCGTGGGAAAGGTCAGTGTAACTACCAAAAACATTTAATATTTAATGATAGGTTGCAGAACACTGGACGCCTAACCCTGTGCTATCACGATATGTGGTTTCTATCTTACAAACCTGTTCTCCCAAGTCATTACATCTATCATTTCCCCCCAGAAAACACGTTATTTTAATGTTTTTATATATTTTCAGGCTGTGTATGTGACATCTACCTTCCCTTACCTGGTGCTGACTATTTTCCTGATCCGTGCCCTCACTCTGCCTGGAGCTACTGATGGACTGTTGTACCTCTTCACCCCTGATGTGAGTTGGAGTGAAATTTTTAATCTTTTGTCCCACAAACAGCTGATTTCCTAAGCAGATGTTATACTCGTGACAGTGGCAAACCCTGACGAACCCACGGGTGTGGTTGGACGCCTCCACGCAGATCTTCTTCTCTCTTTCTGTGGCGTTTGGAGGTCTCATATCTTTCTCCAGTTACAATGAAGAGAAGTAAGGACAGACACTTCTTAACCTCCCCCGGTGAACACGGGGTGATTAGTAAGCTCGTCTTTCTCTCGCTCTTTGTGTTGTTAGAAACAACTGCGAGAGAGACGCTGTTCTTGTGGGAGTGATAAACAGCGCAACGTCTATCTACGCCTCCATTCCGATTTTCTCCATCCTGGGTTTTAAAGCCACCACCGCCTTTAACGCCTGTAAAGACGAGTACGTAAGCATGCCTATTTTAGGTGGGGTTTTGCAACTACGTCTTTGCCTGATCCTGAGTACTTACTCTTCAAATCTTATCTGCAGGAACATCCTGGCTCTGACCAATTACTTTGAGTTCTCAGACCAGAACATAACCCTGCAGAACTACGATTACTGGTATGAATATCTAAATACGACATATCCAGAGAAATTCCAGAGTCTGTCCCTGAGGGAGTGTGATCTACAAAAATTACTTAAGCAGGTACTCACTCCATCTTATAGTCATTCTTCTATCCTCGAGCCCCTCCATCCACAAACACTGGTCATTTTCAGACATTGCCATTTCAAGTATCCTCATTAGCTTCTTGTTTTTTATCTTCAGAGTGTTTCAGGTACTGGCCTGGCTTTTATCGTGTTCACTGAAGCGGTGATATCGATGCCGGGCTCGCAGGTATGGGCCGTACTGTTCTTTGTCATGCTCTTTAGTTTAGGTCTCTCCTCCATGTTTGGTAACATAGAGGGTGTCCTCGCGCCCCTCAATGAACTCAAACTATTGCCCAGGTGGATGCCCAAGGAACTCATATCAGGTACTTGCACATCCGCTTGTGCTTTTTAAGTCAAAAACAATTTCCTTTGAATTCCCTCTTTTAAACTTTCACCTTCTTCACTTCTGCAGCGGTCATCTGTTTGATATCCTTCTTGGTGGCGCTCCTCTTCACCTTGAGCTCAGGCAACTACTGGGTGGAGGTGTTTAATGGTTACGTGGGATCTGTACCTCTGCTCATCATTGCTTTATTTGAGATTATTGGAGTTATTTACTTCCGTGGAATGAAAACGTAACTTTTTCTCCTCTTCTTCCTGAACATAACACTGTAAACTTCACTAACAATCATAATTCATATCCGTTTTACGTCTCCTCTGCCAGTTTCAGTGACGACATCTATATCATGACTGGGAGGAGGCCAAACATCTTTTGGAAGGCGTGCTGGATGGTGATCAGTCCTTTACTGCTCCTGGTGGTGTTTGTTGCCTATGTGATTGTCCAGGCACAGACACGTCCCACCTATCAAGCATGGAACCCAGATTATGTAAGCAGGAAAGCCAAGAATTGAAGAATGAATCTACTCATAAGTCAAGATTTTATTAGGTGCAGTTTGTTCGCTCCTCTATTTATCTTCAGAACTGCTCCAAGTTTCTGTTCCATCACATCCCAAAGGTACATTACTGGATCGAGATCTTTTAATTGTGGAGACAACTTGAGTACAGTGAAATGATCTGAGCTGTGAGTCATAGCGAGTTATCCTGAAGGAAGATGCTACTAAAAATCAAACTGACTTCTGAAATGAATCCAGCAGCCAGACTTTTACCTGAGAAGCAACTATCTGTAATGTCTGTTAACAAACAAGCAAGAGTTTAAAAATGTCTATCAAAACCTACATTTTAACAAATATGTCGATTAATAAATATAGACCAGCGGGATAAAATGACAGCTCAGTCCTTTATGGGATTTTATGAGCCTGAAATATCTCTTGGTTGGTTTCGATAACCTTAAGTTAGCCCTAAAGCACTAAAACAGCAACCACTGACCAAAGTGCTGGACACAGCAATAAAAAATAGAATTTAAATAAATAAAGTAAATCAATATAAAAAATGAATTGAATTAGTCAAGCTAAGCTAATTGCCTGCTTGCTGGTTGTTGCGCTCTATTTAACCCGAAGAAAGAAAATTAGCGCATTTTACCAATTTTAAACCATATTTAATAATTAAATAAATAAATGTCCTTCATTGTTTCCACCTCGATCTTTCTTTTCAGGAAAAATTCCCTGAAACTGAAGAGAAGCTTTATCCAGACTGGGTCTTTGCCATAATCATCCTCCTCTGTGTGGTGCCTGTGATTTCCATTCCTCTGGTGGCCCTCTACCAGCTGCTTCGTGGCAGATTCAGAAAGTCCTCGGTTGGGATGGAGTTGAATCCCTACGACAACGACGCCTTCGTGACTGACACACAGGAACAGAAGACTCAAAGGGCTTAAGGACTGTGGAGAGTAAAAATGCTGCCATACAGCAAAAATCCAGATGTTTATCACTGCTTCTCATCAAAATTCACTAGAATTTCATACAGATTCTGATGTTTACTTGACATATGAAACATTACATTACTTCCCTTGAAAATAAAACAGGATTTATTTAACAGTGACATTCTTAATTTTCATTTTACATATTTTTTACATATCATATATCCAATATAACATTATATCCATTACACACGTTTCTTTGACTCCAAATATATGAATCTGCACAGTTGAACATAGTAAAAATAAAAATAAATAAATAAAGAACACAGAACCCTTCAGGTTTGTTCATTTCTGAACAACTTTAGCATTATCTAAAGAACTGAGCATATGTGATGTAACACAAAAGTAAAAAAAAACAATCCTTTGGTGAATGGCTCACAACTTCTGTGACGTATGTCCTCACATGCTCTTTATGGAAAACTACTACAAGGTGTAAATCAAAGTCCACAAAGACACACACAGCTATGGGCTGAGACCTGCTCTATTATAGTAGCTGCATGACTTTCAATTACCGATCTTGACAGGTTGCTGTTGTTTGATTGTGTGCGTTTATGACTGAGGTTTAGCACTTAAGTGTTTTGCAGCACACGACTAAGTACTGTGTTTTCCAGACATGTTTCCTGACACTCTAGATCCGAAAGATGTCATGTATTGGTTTGGGGTTTTTTTGGTGATATATATTGTTAAAACACTTACAACTTAAGAATTAAACAAAGCAAAAGAAAAAAAAAGGCTTTTAATATGTTTTTAACAAAAAAGGGGAGGGAATCTAGATTAAATAAATCCAGACCTTTAATCTCCAAGTATTGTTCTGCGGTCATGTTGGAAACTGGGACTAGGAATAGTAATTTACGTCTGAATGGCCAAGAAGTCGACTGGAGTCCTGGGGTTAGCGGCCTGCCGCACCCTGGCCAGCCTCAGGTCCCCCAGACGCCGCTCCAGACTGCGCTTTCCTGTAAAAAGATAAAGATAAGAAGCTTTTTATTTCCTTCTTTGGTGACAAACTGTAAAATCAAATGACAGGTGCCAATAAACTGCAGATTATACATGTAAAATGATACGTGTATATTGGCTAAATTAGGTGCACCTCTTACAAAGTCCACATTTAAAAAGAATCAGTCTTCCTGGAAAGCGACAGGAAGGACAGCCTTTCGTAGTGAAATCGAAAAGCTTCATTTTTCCAAACTGTAGTACTTTTATTTTGTTTTTAATTATTCTTGCCTAATTAAGCATCCACACACACATACACACAGGCAGCGGTTATTTTATCCTGCTGTAGTCCTCAAAGGTTCACCACAGCAAACAGATCTGCATGTTTGATATGGGACTTTACACCAGATGCCCTTCTGGATGCCCCTCCTAGAAGTGCACAAACTCGTGACCCCTTCAGGCTGTCTCTTCGTGTCTCCTCCTTTTGCACGTAGGGAGGAAACAAAGAGACTCCTACTGATAGTATGCACATGCACTTCTTTGGATGTTATTTGTGACTCTGCAGCAAATTATTTTTGATATACAAATACAACTTAATATGTGAGCAGAACAAGAGTCTGCAACTGACAAAAGTGTCAGTGGTGTTGGGGATCGTCAAAATTGCTGGGCTCATGAAAAAAAGAAATGTACAGCCAGATTTTATCCACAATGAAAGATCATCTGGAAAGCATCCAATTGGCTTCAGCCTCATTTTTCAGCAACACAATGATCCGAGACAGACTGCTAATGCAGTAAAAGCAATGGATAGAAAAAACACACAGTGCAGCACTATCAGTTTTGGATTGGCCTCCCCAGAGCCCAGACCTCAAAGAGAAACAGCCAAGATCCAAAGAAGAGCTGTGAATGTGCTTCAAGAAGCCTGGAGACTATTCCTGAAGCCTCCTTCAAGAAATTACAAGAAAACGTAAAAGAAAAAGGTAATCATACCAAATTCCAACTGTTTTAGAATTGCACTTTGTTTTGTCTTGTATTTCCATGTATTTTTGCACACGTTTTAATTCATCACTGTGCCCATTTTCCATTTTAACAACAAAATCTAAAGGAAAACTGAGATGCTCAGACTTCTGCAGAGTACTTTGCGTAACATTTTAATTGGATTTTTTGGAAGAAGAATCTGAACATCACTTTTGAGACTACATACGTTTGTGCAGGTGTGCGAGCAGATCTTTATAGAGAAGACGGTGTTGTGACAGCACCAGCAAGAAGCACAGACAGAAAAGCAGCTCCACTGCTTCGTACTGCACAATCCCCGTCTGGGCCTTATCACCTAAAATCAGTCCTAGAGAGGCAAAGAGAGAAGAAATTAAGTTATTAATGTGTTTGCTCAGGTGGCTGAAGGAAAATGGGTTGAATTTTACATCACAGCTCAGTAACACTGCAGCAATTGTGGGTTACAATCCAGTACTATCCAGTGAATAGTTTAGCTTATCCTATAATAACACATGTTAATGAAATTAACATAGCGTTTACTCACTTTAGTAATACTATAGCAACCTGCTAAAATAAATGGTTATATCAATGCAGTACGTATGCTGACAACATATTGTGATATTACAGGATACCATCAGCCTAATATCCTCAAAATCACATTGAAACTGTTTAAACTATCATCCCCAGCAATTTGTGCGCTGTAAATAATGTTTATATTTATTTAAACATTCAAAAGTCTTAGGGTTAATTAAGCGCACACAACACTGCTGCAAACTAGGAATTTACTATGTGGTTTAGTCTAATGTTTAACTTTCCAGGCTGAATGAGGTTATAAATCTCCTGATTCTCCTAAACGTACCATGAATACACAGAATGAACTATAATGGAAAACAAACGCAAATTACTACCATACATCCTGAACACAGGCCAAAATAACTGACAGAAGTAGAAGTAGAAGAACTTCTACTTCTAGATGTTCTAGAAGTAGAAGTTCTTCTACTTCTAGAACATCAGAAAATATCTGGCTGTGCAAAAGTCTTGAGCCACCCTTCATATTTTCTTAGCTGGACATTTTAAGCAGTCTTGAGCAGCAGGTCTCTGGGCTTTATGAAGATTTTCTTTGGACATCATCTGCTTTTTCACTCATTTTCACTTCAGTCATGACCATTTTCACAGGACTGTTTCTTTGTTAAGCCACTTGACACTGGCCTGAATCGTTCAACATAAAAAGGGCAGCTAACCCAAATGCCAAATTTTAATAAGAACTCAACTGTAAATTACCGGAAACAGGTTTTCCAGAGTGATTAATCCAAATTTGCAATTTGCTGTTCAAATTATTGAAGCATTGTGGGAGCACCTTGATAGAAAGTATACTTCTGTTACTGGAATTCCCACTGCCTGACCCGACGAAGCCTCGAACCATGTTAACCATTTGCCACACAGTCACCCTGACGCCACTATATTCCTCGCTCCTTTAAACTGTTTGCACAAGAATAATTAGCACCCCTGCGGAGTGTGGTCTCCGCAGGGGTGCTAATAAAAAAAAATAAAGTATGCATTAAATACAATAACATTTATATAATTTAAAAATAAGTGACATTAAACTAGCACGCAGTGATTAAGAAGATGTAGATAACTGAAAATGAAAAAGGATAAAATATAACAGCTCTGAAAGCGTCCAACTCGCAAGTATGTGGGACTCATTAACTCACAGGAGCACATTAACTTGGCTCTGCTGTTATTTGCCAACATCCAGTTTGGAGAGGAGTAAGTTTAACTGCTGTAACTGATCCTGAGTCTGCCGTTTCATGTAATATAATACATTTTTGCATTCTCTCCTGTTTTCATCTGCTCGTTTAACTGGGAGCACTGACATCTCAGGGTGTTAGCGACACAATTATCACACTCTCACTGAGCTTTCACAAGCGACATCACCCGAAAAGGGCGCCCTCTGCTGGCCACGAGCCTGATGCCACTGCTGTTTGCTGTTCGGCTTAAACAAATCTATAGTATAGTAAACAGGACACCACAGCAGTACTCTGAGTGCATCTCTACCTCTAAAATCCAGCTTGTGTGGCTGCTATCTTAAGTAAATATTAAATCTATAAGGAAAATGAGAGGGAAGCACCCCTGTCACCAAAATGGATCAAACCATAAAGTTCCCAGACTGAAGAGCAACCGAGTAAAACTTGAGGAGCAAAAAAGGCACAAAGTAAAATGTGCTAAGGTCCAAAACATTAAGCACATCATAGCAGTGCTGGATTTTTTGCCCTGGTTGTCAGTCTTCTTATACCTGAACATCTTGTTTTTTTCCAACTACCCACATTACTCTTTAAAACTGCAGGATCTTACTTCACAATACAACTTGCAGAGATGCTATTACTTGATTTGAACGTGTT